CGCCATGTGCTCACCCGCCTCTGCCCCCCCAGGGAAGGGCCTGGCCTTGTCGCCAGCTCCTCGGTCTCGGGTCACTGCCGCCGGGGGGGCGGGCGGGGGGCGCTGCTTGTGCGCAGCCTTCACGGGGAGGCGAACATTGGCGGCTGGGACGTGCGGGAGGGGCGCGGGGCCGCGCCAGGACGGCATCCCGCCATCCCGCGCCCCGCCCGGCGGGGAGGCCATCTCATTCTCCTTGTCGTGATAGAATCACGCACCGGGAGGGGGGCGGCTGCTGACCGGGGTGAGCTCCGTTCCAGCCCGATCCTGTAGGGCCTCAGCCGGCAAAGCCTGCAGACTGGCCGAGGGGGCCTAGGGTGGGGAAGGGGCGGCTGAGCGAGCTCACAGGAAAACAACCTTCTTCCGAAAGTGGGGTCTGCCCTCAAGGTGGATGTCGTTAGCTCTCGGAAACGCTCCATACTTCTCAGGGTTTTGTCACAAATCCGGGGAAAAGGCTGCAAATTCCGAGGCTGTGCTCAGTTTCTGAGTAGGAGAGACAAAGGAAGGAGGCGAAGATTGTTTTCTGATGGTCGTGATAGTCATGCAGTTCTAGTGATATTTAAGACAGAACAGTTTGGATGAGACTTTCATTACTGAGGCACTTGGTAATGGCGTCTTTGATGATACCACGGTTATGCCGTTCAGAAAGCCGCATTTACTCCAAAATAAAAATAAGTTACATTGTTTGAAATTCACAGTGTATGTCTGTGTTGTCACTATTCCCATTATACTACCACTTTTTCAATTTCCAGATTAAGTGGCTATGCTTGTGGGATAGAGAAAAGCTTGCCACGGTCTGAAGGAAAAGGTTGATTGTATCTTTTTCCTATATGAAGTTGGCAGAACATACTTTCAACAAGTAGTCACTTTAGTAGTGACTAAAAGGTCACTTTGGACTTTTTTTTTTAAGTAGTTGCAGAACAGCTGCTTTGTTTCAGACACAGACCTAAGGAGACCAAAAAGACGTGTTAGTACTGCTGAATTACCACCATAGCTCTTCTGACCTCAGTAGTGTCCTCCATGTTACCAAGCTAGCAGAAAACTATTCTTTTCTGGTGGTTTAGTTTTGCCAGGTTTGTTAGCTGAAATAGCTTGGAGAGGAGAGTGATGTTTGGCACAGATTTTATTTTTTAATAGCAGCAAGCCATTGCTAGCTTAGCTAGGGTGAAACCTAATCCTAAATTAGGTCACTTTATCTAGATGTTCCGAATTACAGATTCTTTGCAGCTTTTCTTGTCAACCCAAATCACTCTGAACTAGGAAAAATTAAAGTTTTTTCTTTCTTTTATTCAGTTACTGCTGCATCTGCTATTGCCAACATCGTAAAGAGTTCTCTTGGTCCAGTTGGTCTGGATAAGATGTTGGTGGATGATATTGGGGTAAGTAAGCTTTCTTTAAAAAGTGTCAGGTTGTTGATGGTCTTGATTTATGTGTTGTGTGTGGTGTCTGTATAAGAAGCAACAAAAAAATAATGAAAATAATCCAGTAGCCACTTTAAAGCTGTATTTCATATTTCAAAATACTTAAAGCAAACGAGGGAAGTTTGTTGTTTTACATGCAACTGTAATAAAATGTTGTATTAGAGGGTAATCACTGCACTACTACTAACCCAGTACGTGCAAAAGGTTACAGTTTCTGTAACATAAAATCTCTGATTCTGCAGCAGTAACATTTCTGTTCTTAGAATGGGACTCCTGGCTAATGAGAAGCAGTAAACATTTGGTATAAATCGGGGGGGTTTTGGGCATTTGCAAGGAAAAGTTTACTTTCTTTTGCATAAGTAATATGAAGCACAACAGTAAAAACATAATAGAAATATATCTTGTATTAACCTTTGATTTGTAAAAATCAGGATGTGACCATTACCAATGATGGTGCAACCATTCTGAAACTGCTGGAAGTGGAACACCCTGCTGCAAAAGTTCTTTGTGAGCTGGCAGACTTGCAAGACAAAGAAGTTGGTGATGGGACCACCTCAGTGGTACGTGGGAAGTTTAACACTGAAAGTCCATTATCACAGTGCAGCTTTGGTTTATCTGTTACGAATCTTGATGCAATGTGGATCAACTAGATAGAATGAAAAACCTTGCAGTTGACTGCATATAAACATGTGTTTTAACTAGGTTACAGAATAAAGACGTTAGATAGCGGGTTTTTAGAGATGCTAGTTTCCATATGCAGCTGGTGCTCTGGAATGGAATTTGCTTACTGCTGTTTCATTATTTATTTTTTCCTTTCTGGAAAGTTGAGGATGGAGTCTGAATTAGGTTTCTTAATTTCTAACAACCATGAGAATTTAAAGACTAATGACGATGTTGAGTGCTGAAGTCTTGTCTGAGACTTTGGACAAGGTGGAGGGGCGGCAGAATTAGATGTTTTTTACCTGGTGTCAGAAACTGTTGTGATTCCAAGTTGCAAGTACTTTTTTACACTGAACATCCAGTGGCCAACTATTTGTGGTTATACTTGCCATTTGATGGCAAAAGGTAGTTATTGTGCTTCTATGTAATATGTGTATTTAATGTTTGTATTTCAAACAGGTAATCATTGCTGCAGAGCTTCTAAAAAATGCAGATGAGTTAGTGAAACAGAAAATTCATCCTACGTCCATTATTGGTGGATACCGACTTGCTTGCAAGTAAGAAACTAATACAGTTGAAGTACATTACATTTTTTAACATACAACAACTGCATGTTTTTTGTTTACTTATGGACTTTTGGGTGCATTAGTACAGACTTCTTGGTGAAAAGTGGATGCAGCGTTTTGCTTTGCCTTGTGTGTTTTGGGCTTTTTTGTTCATTTGGAGGTTTTGTGTTTATTTTGAATTTCTGTTGTCTCACATAAAAATGTAACATTTAGGAAGGCTGAAAACTTGAAAGATTTTTGTGTTTGTTAGGGTGAAGTTCCTTACCGTAGTTTTCTTTATTTTCCAGGGAAGCTGTTCGCTACATCAATGAAAATCTTATTATTAACACAGATGAATTGGGCAGGGAGTGCCTAATTAATGCTGCTAAAACATCAATGTCCTCTAAAATTATAGGAATGTATCCTTTAACTTGATCAAGTTATTTTAGTGAGAATGAGTGGTTGGAGAGCATGAGTAGCAAAGCTAGTTTCCTTTGCAGCAGTTTTTACCAATGTGCTGTAGTATTCAAGCTGTTGTTTTTATAAATGGTGTGAATAACGTTTCACAGATCTTGTAACCTGGCATGGGAAACTACAGTCAGACTCTTCAAATTTACTGAAATTTGGTTGGGCACGTCACAATAGCTGTGATGGTGCCATGTGTCTTTACGATGCCAGTGACACTAGGTAAGGAATTGGGTTAGTGTAAGAGTGCAATACAGAAGTCAAGAACCTGAGGATTGAAATTAGAGGAAAGAAGGTTGCGTTTTACTTCACAGTCACAGCAAGACCTGCATTTTCAGTTGTCATGCTAACGGAGGAGTGCAGACTGACCACAGGATAGGTATTTTTGTTCAGAAACAAAAAGTGTGTAAAATGCAGGCATCTCATTAGCCTTTCCTAATTTTCTTACCAGTGTTTCACCTTTTAGAATTTAACCATTCCTCTAAGGGAACCGTAAAGAAAGGTAGCATTTACATACTTTTCTGGAGTTCTTTTTTTGGAAACAGTTTTTGACACTTAACTGAGGCACTGTCGGTGACTTTTTTTTCCTTATGTGTAATCCTAATTTCCTTCTTCAGTTTTAACCTTAACAGCACTGCAGTGACGGTGATTTCTTTGCCAACATGGTGGTGGATGCTGCACTGGCTGTTAAGTACACAGACCAGAAGGGCCAGGCTCGGTACCCCATCAACTCGGTCAACGTTCTGAAGGCTCACGGCCGCAGCCAGAAGGAGAGCATCCTTGTCAACGGTTACGCCCTGAACTGCGTGGTGGGCTCACAGGGTAAGAAGCCACTGCTCCGTGTCTGTGGGAGCCCAGTCCTCTTAGTCTTTCTGCGTGGGTCTGCTTACTGACTGCATGAGTTGCAAATCGTGTGGGTTTCAATTCCACAGCAATAAAACAAGAACACAGAAGAGCTTTATTGCTTCCCCAGTGGTTTCTTGGCTGCAGTCTGCTGGCCAGTAGTGATCCACAAAGTGTTGGTAGTTATTGTAGTTTCCCTAGCTCATTGTCAGCATGGCAACACTGATCTTCAGGAACATAAGCACCTCCCTTGTGAGGAGACAGTGTCCAAGTTTGTAGGAAGTGTTATATTTTGCACATGATTTTTCTTACTCTTTTTCATCAGGTATGACCAAGAGAATAGTTAATGCAAAGATTGCATGCCTTGACTTCAGCCTGCAGAAAGCAAAAATGAAGCTTGGTGTTCAGGTTGTTATCTCGGACCCTGAGAAGCTGGACCAGATAAGGCAGAGGTGTGTGGAAGCTTGGGTAAATGAGACGGGGTTTCACAGGCTTGTTTTGGTCACTTCAGTTGAGGTGGCTCGAGGTAAATTTTACTGAGTTCAATAAGTGACTGTGTTTTAAATGTTAACATTTCCCAACAATAACAGAGAGTGATGGTGAAAGTCTTCATTTCTGGAGGCAGAACTAGCAGTAAGTAAGCCTTTGAGATGCCCAAGTATAATGGTTCCCTCTCTTTGCAGAGCTCTGCATCAAGATTTTAGGAAATGGGTTGACAGAATGTGATTGCAGACTTTTAAATACATTTTCACAACTTTGAATTAATCTTTGCAGAGAATCAGATATTACCAAAGAAAGGATTCAGAAGATTTTGGCCACTGGTGCCAATGTTATTCTCACCACTGGAGGTATTGATGATATGTGTCTGAAATACTTTGTTGATGCTGGTGCTATGGCAGTACGAAGAGTTGTAAAAAAGGACCTGAAGCGGATTGCTAAGGCATCTGGAGGTGTGTGCATATAAAAATATCTAGGTTTTTTTCTTTTGTTGTATTTATCTTTTTTAAGTAAAAGCAGTTATTAATGGAATAAATAACAAATTTTAAAAATATGGCTTTGTAACATGAAAGCCATGCCTTTTGTTAAGTTTGAATTTTACTGTTGCATTTAGGTGATCACTGTGTCCAAGCAGATGAGTACCATAAGAGCTGACTGCTGAAGATACACAGTGGGGGGTGGGGAAGCAAAGTGCTGGTTTGCATTGGGAAGACTGTCT